GAGCAGCCACTGGTCTGTCCCTGTTCACGGCCAGAGGCAGGCAGCTATGAACGGAGGAGGAGCCGGCGCAGCCTCAGACAAAAGGCGCAGAGGATCCCAGCACAGCCCGCGGGAGGGAGTCCCCCAGCGGAAAGTCAGAAGGAGAAGACCCGGGCCTGGAGGCAGCAGAGGGGTCAGAAGAAGACAATCGGAGAGGCGTAGGAGGGTTTTCATTCAAGAAAAATCACCCGGCGCAGGACGAAGGGAATGAAAGTTGGCTTTGAGATTGTAAATGGAAGTGTCGGCTGCCGCGGCTCAGGTTAAATTGGTGCGGGGAAGGGCCGAGCGAGGGCGTGTCCTCCGGGGCCTTGGGAAAGGAAGCCCGCGGACGTGGCGAGAACGTCGAAGAGACGGGCAGTCGTTACACAGACTCCAGCATCCGTCTGAGCAGAGCTCTGAAAGGCGAGTGAAGAGGAACCAGAGAGAATAAAATAATCAAAGAAGTAAAAGGAAAAGAGCCTCCAACATGGAAGCGGAGTGCTCAGACCTACGGAGCCCTCTGGCGCCCAGGGCAGAGGCATCCCAGAGGGACTGCGAAGAAAGCGTTCGCTGTGGTCACAGAAACACACACGCAAACAGCAGGCAGGCCGGAGAGAGAGCCACGAAATGCAGGCTCTTCTAAGTCAGTGCAGGTTGTAACTAACCAAAGAACACAAAGTTAGTGCACATCTTTAAGTAGGAAGGGTGAACACGACAACCATGATGTAGGTGACGTACATACATTTAAAAAACCATCAGAAAGGCTTATTCAATTAACATAACATTCAGTTAATACAGCGGTTCTCAACCTTCCTAATGCCGCGACCCTTTCATACAGTTCCTCATGTTGTGGTGACCCCCAACCATAAAATTATTGTCGTGGCTACTTCATCACTGTCATGTTGCTACTGTTATGAATCGTCATGTAAATATCTGATATGCAGGATGTATTTTCATTGTTACAAATTGAACATAATGAAAGCATAGTGATGAATCACAAAAACAATATGTAATTATAGATGTGTTTTCCGATGGTCTTAGGAGACGCCTGTGAAAGGGTCGTTCGACCCCCAAAGGGGTCGCGACCCACAGGTTGAGAACCGCTGAGTTAATATAATGAATCATCTTAGAGGATCAAGTGAGATTTTATGAGATCAAATACAACTTTTGCTTTTTTTGTATCGATGCCACGCGTCGCCAGTCACGAGGGGAATAGGAATTAAAATCACCGCACACGGTGAGACGTCTGCCACAGAACAGCCCGAGCACAGCGAGTGTTGGCGAGGACGTGGAGGGACTGGCACGCCCGGGGTGAGCGGGGAAGTGGGAGATGCTGCCACCACTTCGGAGAACAGTTTGGTGGCTCTTGAGGCAAATGCAAACAGATCTTATGATTGAGCCCGTCCCCTCTCAGGAGAAATGAAAACTCAGGCTGATGCACCATCCTGAACACAGGTGTTCGTAGTCACTTTGTTTGTAACTAGAGGCCCAGTACACGAATTCGTGCACAGGTGGGGTCTCTCAGCCTGGCCAATGATTGGGGCTGATCAGGGCCATCTTGCCCAGTCCGGCGGGTGGGGGAGGAAGGACCACAGGAGGTTGGCCGGCCGGCCACGGGGAGGTACTGTGGGAGGTTGGCCGACCAGGGGAGGTTGGCTGTGGGAGTACACTGACCACCAAGGGGCAGCACCTGCATTGAGCATCTGCCCCCTGGTGGTCAGTGCACATCATAGTGACTGGTCATTCTGCCCTTTGGTCCATTTGCATATTAGCCTTTTATTATATAGGACAGGACGCAACTCGACTACAGCCCGCCTGCTACCAGTTGGTGAGCAGGTGAGCAGATCGTGGTATGTCCATACATTGAAGTAGGATGCAGCAATACAGAAGACCAGCCCGTTGGTACATGCCACAGCACGGGCGAATCTCAGAATAGTTATGCCTAGTGGAAGGAGCCAGACAAAACGGAGGGCACGGCCTAGGGTTCCCACATGGGGGTACGTTTATATCCCATTTCTATAAAGTGCTAGAAAAATGCAAACTAGTATTCAGTGACAAAGAACTTTAGTGATTGCCTGCAGGGTGTGGACAGGGACAAAGGGAGGGTAGACGGGAGGGCTGACAGGGTCATAAGAAAATTTGGAGAGGGGGAGGGTACACTTATTGTCATGATCGTACACACGGTTTCACAGCTGCACACACGTCGAGACTAACTGCGTGCTTTATATATGTGCAGTTTATATATGTCAGTGATATCACCGTAAAGCTATGAAGGCAGTCTATCCCCTTAGACCAGCGGTTCTCAGCCTGTGGGTCGCGACCCTTTGGGGGTCGAGCAACCCTTTCACAGGGGTCGCCTAAGACCATCGGAAAACACATATATAATTACATATTGTTTTTGTGATTAATCACTATGCTTTAATTATGTTCAATTTGTAACAATGAGATTGGGGGTCACCACAACATGAGGAACCATATTAAAGGGTCGCAGCGTTAGGAAGGTTGAGAACCACTGCCTTAGACAGTAAAACCTCTTTCAATCACCTCAGGCTACAACTCATTGGAAATGAGTTTTGTGGAGCACTCACACCATTTCCTGGGTGGCTGTCCAGTGAGGAGTTATTTTAAATAAATAGGTGAAGTTAACGTTTGTGGCTTTAAAAAAATCACGAATGGGGGAAGGCTCAGAAAGAAAAAGACCCATTTCTGGAGGATTATATATTGCTGAATTATTCAGATTAAATATGTAAGCCCTTGAAGCTCTAAGATCGCGATGCTATCAAATCCATCCATTTACTGTGTAGATTTGAAAAAATCTCCGTGCTAATTACAGAGGACGGGTTCATCTGTCTGGGCACACAGCACTGATTAATCAGAGGCACACGCGTGACCGTTCATTATGCAGAGAGCGGGCGGCAGCTCCGGAAAATCCCACCACGGGCAGGCCAGGGGGCCTCGGCCGCGGGGTCGCGTTCCCCACGCAGCCCGAGCAGCTCCACGACGAGGCAGGCGTTGGCGCTGTCATCCTGCGTCGGCAGGTGCTGGGCTCGCAGGGCAGGAGGCCGAGGGGGACGTCATGGTAAACACCCCAAGGTGACAACATACGTGACAGAGCACCTGCTGCCAAACACGCAGAGCAGTCACTGGTACTTAACCCGCTTTCTGTGCGTGTCAGGTGCCTTTTTGTGATTGTCCAGGAGTCTTCACAGCGTCCTGAGTGGATCCCACGCTCTCAGATGACACCTCTGGCTCAGGCTACAATCTGTTCTCTTTTTTCATCTGCCTTTTCCGAGTTTCGTTTTGGTAGTGTCAGCGATCGCTGCGGGTCAGTGTGCTCCGACCCACCCCCTTTCCCGATGCCGCGGTGGGTGGGTTCTTCCCTCCGCTGCCTCCTCCTGCTCCGCGGTCCTTCTGTTCCAGTCTCATTGGACCCAGATGTGCGTCAATTAGTTAATTAATTTATATTGATGTCAGAGAGGGAGAGAGAGGTAGAAACGTGATGAGAATCATGGATCGGCCGCCTCCTGCACGCCCCCTACCGGGGTCGAGCCTGCGACCGGGGCCTGTGCCCCGACCGGGATCGACCGTGACCTCCTGGTTCCTAGGTCCACCCATGAGCTCTTCTTTCCAAGGCCCATGGTGCTCGCTGCCTGGGCCGTGGGAAGCGCTCACACTCCGTAGCTGTCCGGTTACTGATGCTGCTTCCTTAGGAGACTCGCCCCCGTGGGTAAGACGCCGTGGTCTTGCTCCCCAGCGCCAGTGGGGAGGGACCCAGGCTCCGCACTTTACTGGGCCGTGTGATAGCCTGAGGTTTTCTCCTGCTTTTCCCAGAAAGCCTTGAGCTGCTCAGTGTCATCGGGGGGGGGGGGGCGGGGGAGGGTGTCAGTCCTTCGCGGGAGGACAAGACATGATGTGTAGCGTTGGCTGGTGTCCGCAGTGAGCCCACCCTCCCTGCCCCGGGCCCAGCTTCCGACACGACGTCCCTGCACACAGAGCTGGGAAGGGTGCGTGGGGCGTGCGGCCCTGCGCCCCACTCTCACGCCCCAGCCCCCCCACAGGGTGCCTACTGCAGTGGCCTCATGTGGAAGACGGGATCATGTGCACTCATCAGGGAAATACCTAACTTTTGTTCTATAACCAGCAAAGCCCTCACCCCCACCCCAAACACATGAACTGCGAATCTCAACGTTTTCGGTTTACGTACATGAAAGCGGTTAGCTCCCCTCTCCTGGCCTCAGTTTGCCCAGGTACCTGGACTGGGTCGGCTCCAGCATCCCCTCCAGTCCCCAAACCCAGGAAGCCTGATTCGGGCGTCGCTCCTTTCCTCGTCCTCCACGCTCCTCGTTCCCGCATTGCGCTGGATCCCGGACTTAGAGCGAGGCGTAGGGCGCCGCCCCCCGCAGGCGAGAACCTCTGTCTTTTCTATCAGCGCCCCATCCTGTGTGGACCCCGAGTGTGCTCACTGCCGACGGGGTCATGCCCTGTCCCGGAGGCCAAGCTTTCGGGCTGTCACAGACGTTGGCACTTAGACCCGCACGCGTTGCTCCTCGTTCCCAGGCTCTAGCAGGGGTGACACCAGCCTGCCCTGGTGGCGGTCAGTTCTCCTGGGAAATGTCCCCAAGCTGCTCTCCGTGGCGGCTGGCCCCCCGCTCTGCAGCCCGGCTGCCTTACCCGAGGGTGTGGGTGTCATTAGGTGGGACTCGGCAAGGCCTGAACACATCCTTCCGACGCCAAGTCCGAGAAGTCCTCCTGGTTCTCTCACCCGTTTTGATAAGAGGTGCAGAGAGCCACCCTTGAGCTTGCGTGTTCTCCCCGAAGGTCACGTGCACCTGCCCACCTGCTGGCCCGTCAGCCGTGGTCCCTGCAGCTGATGTTGAAGAGCTGCCGGGGTCCCGCAGCTGGGAGGTCCCGTGGGAGCGGGGGAGCAGGGGAGCGTGGCCGGGCGGAGAGCCGGGCCTGAGAGGGTGTGTTTGTGTCCGCAGGGGCCGACCACATCCGCAAGTACTGGAGCCGCTACTACCAGGGCTCCCAGGGCGTGATCTTCGTGCTGGACAGCGCATCCTCCGAGGGCGACCTGGAGACGGCCCGCAGCGAGCTGCACTCGGCCCTGCAGCACCCGCAGCTCTGCACGCTGCCCTTCCTCATCCTCGCCAGCCACCAGGACAAGCCGGCCGCCCGCTCCGCCCAGGAGGTACGTCCCGGGGACCCCGGGCTCTGTCGGTCGGGCGTCTCGGTCTGGCGTCTCGGTCCACGCTCGCTGTCCAGGTGCCGTCGCTAGGGCCGTGCGGCGGTGCTGCCTTCCAGCCCGATGTTGGCTTCTCCACGGCGGGGTCCGTGCTGCTGGTCAGTCCAGTGTCTTCCCCGCCTGAGCCCACTGAGCGCGGGGCTGCCTGTCTGAGGGTTGGCGGCGTCCGAGGACTCACCTGGGTGTTCTCACCTTTGTAAGGGCTGCTGCCAGTTATTCGACGCTCCCCCCCTACCCCCCCCAGTCTGCGTTCCGAAGCCTCGCCCTCCCTCGGGTGGCGCCCTGGTCCAGCTGGGACACGCAGCACCTGCCCGCAGTGGGCCCGTTCGGTAACCAGCCGGGCTGCGCACTGACATCGGTCTCGCAGGTTCAGAGCCAGCAAATCGGTTTCACTCGGGACGCGTTCCCCATCTTCCGCGTTCAGTTCGGTGTCCTGTCTCAGCCTGTATCTCTCCCGCGAAACCAGAGACGAATTTGGGCAAATGATCATGTCTCGCTCAGCAGAGCTGCTGACCCACGGGACCCCGTACTAAGATGTGTGAACAGTTTTCAAAGCTTCAGTTGCAGTGAGTTTTACTCTAAGCGCAGGGACACGAAGCAGGTGGTGTGTTCCTTCACACCAGGGTGGGGAACGTCCGGCCCGCGGACCGAGCAAGGCCAGCCAAGGCCTTAGGGGTGAGTTAACTAAGTGCCTGACCACACAGAGCAGCTGGTTGTTAGGCAATAATGGTGTGTGGCCCGAGAGTGGTGTCATAGATACCCACCTGGCCCTCGGCAGAAGGAAGGGCCCCCTGCTCTCCATCCCTCTCAGTTCGTGCGCCCGCCCTCCTTCAGCCTGCGCTTCCCTTACCGACGCGGTGGCTGGCAGGAGCGACTCTGCGCTTTAGTGTGGAACACGGACGAGAAGCTGAGGGCGCCCACGTTCCACGTCTGGCCCCCTCCCCTGAGGGGTGGGGACCTGCGGCTGGCAGCCCTGTCCCCCCCGTCTCCCCTCCCCCCCCCGTCTTCTCACCTGCGAGGCGGGAGCCAGGCGGTGTTTCTGCCGTAAGTGGGCTGCACGGATTGGGGCGTTCACCCTGGAGTGTAAAGTGCTGGGTGCCGGCGATGACGCACAGACAAGTTTCGGTTTCAGAAAGCCGCTCCGTGAGGCAGGGACTCCTGTCGGGCACAGAGCCGGTCCTTCCGCGCTGCCGCGTGCAGCAGTGGGGAGCCCTTCCCTTGCCAGGCTGCGTGCGATGCCCCTGGGGAGCCTGAAGCCATTAAGATAAAAAATAAAAATAGCCTTCAAGGCTGTCCCGAGGGCCCTCGAGGTGCAGGTCTCCCCGCTCTGTCCCGCGACCGCGGGGGCCTTTCAGCGGCTCGGCCGTGTTTCTCTCTGGCTCTGGCGCGGGAGGAGCGCGGTGGTGGCGGGCGTCCCGAGGGGTAACTTGGTTTCTGATTAGCCGGTGCGTTGCTGAAAGGGTTAGGACGAGGTCATATGGGAAGCATGTAATGCAGTACATGTGTGCATCACAGCGTGCTCGGACAGCATAACATGTGCGAACACACACACTATGAAACATGTTGCTGTCACACAGACGGCGCTGGAACTGCAAGTCACTGGATTCAGGTTGGGAGCAGTAGCTGCGTGCACTTCTTTTCTCTTAACACACTGCGTGCCGCTCAGGAGTTTTCTCGTGTTTCGCGCGCCATCTGTCAGGACCGCTCACGAGTGTTCTCGTTTTCACGCCCGTGGAAAAAGGAGCGAATCTAGATACTTACGTAAACTTTGGTCCCTCTTCGTAGAGGAGAATGTTTTACGCAGTACCGTACGTTAAAAAAGTACTAGGAACTTTAATTGTTTAATTGTTTTTGTAAATAAAAATGTTATAGTTATTGAAAAACAACACCTACAGTGCATTATGATGATTTAAATAACGTGCAGTTTGCCCCAAAACGTGCTGTCCCTGGTGTATGTCTTAGAGATTTCTATGCGGTACGCAATGTGTTAAGTATAAACGCTGTTGATCTGTTTTGCTTGGACAGCGTAGGATTGGAGCTGACGTGCTCTTTACACCTGAGTGTGGTCGGGTGGACCTCACAGGCACTGGCCTGGCGCAGACCGAGGGGCGCTTGGCAGTCGATGGTTCCGGGGTGCCCGGTGCCCAGTCCGGCTGGCTCTCCGAGGAAAAGGGCAAATGTCCCTGGGGCACATCCTATATAATAAAAGGCTCATATGCAAATAGACTGAACCAGCCGGACAACCAAACAACCGAACAACTGGTCGCTATGACATGCGCTGACCACCAGGGGGTGTGCACAGAACATGGTGGCCGTCAGCCGAGGTGGGATGGTGGAGCAGCTGAGCAGGGTGCCAGACCAAAGCGGGGCGCCGGCCACTGTCATCAGGGAGAGTCTCTGGTGGTTACTGAAAATTCTTTGCTCCCGTGCACCGCAGTCCTGCCCGGTGCTCGCACCCACTGCCGGCGCCTGGTGCTGACCCCGATTGCTGGGGCCATCAGTGGGTGTGAGCAGTGGCTGCTAGCCCTGATCGCCCCTGAGGGCTTCTCCACCACCCCCTGCTCCTGAGGGGCGATCGGGGCAGCAGCTGCCGCTTGTACCGGCTCTTGGCACCGGCCCCAGTGGCTCCATGCCGTCAGCCGGTGCGAACCGGGCCGGCACTGTCAGTGCATGGGAGCGGCAAAAGTGGGAGCGGGGCTGCTGGCAGAAAGGGAACTGGGGGCTGGACGGGGGTGCGGAGGATGGGCCAAGACTCGCCCCTGTGCCTACTGCAGCTTCGCGGCCCACAGTTCCTTTCAAGGTGCATGAATTCGTGCACTGGGCTCCTAGTCTTTTCAGAAGAGAGACTCCAAGTGTAGGAGGAGCACAGGCTCGACTTGAACGTCAGACCCGACACGTGCACACCCTGCAGCACGGGACCTGGACTTTGCTCTGCACGTCCATCGAAATGAATCTTCCTCAGAGCTTGGCTTGGCATGGCCTTGCAGCTGCCATGCTGACACTGCCTGGCCTGTGCGCTCCCTGTCTGTGCACAGGCGTCACCCCACGGGCAGGTTAGCGCTTCATCCCGCCCACAGCCGCTCCCTCCGGACCCCCGCCCGTCAGAGCCAAGGAGCGGGCACACCTGGGTTTGGGAGGAAGCGATTGGTCAGCCTCCTCCTCTGTCCGTGGCTGGGGTGTCCACGGCTCCTTAGCGTCCTCTGCGACGTCCTGTTGAAACCCCCAGGACTGTGTCAGGAGTTAAATCACTCCCTCACGGTCAGCACACAGCGGTCTGTGAATCTGATGCTAGACCTTCTATCGACAGTGACCTGGGGGTGGCTGGGCGTAGCTTGCCGGGGAGTGGGGAGGGCATGGAAGGTGAGTGAGTCCCACGTGGCTTGAACTGTGTTTAGACGTGGTCCTCTGCATATTACTCCGCCTCTCCTTATCGGGAAGGTGTTACATGCCCTGGGCTCTGTGGCTTATAAACACGTTTCTTCATTTGTACCTGCTCATTTGGGTGCACTTTGTAGAATCTCCAAATACTAAAGAGATGGTGTTCTACTCTGCACAATCCCTGTGAATTTGGAGCAAAATCCCAGGCTTTCAGAATCAAGGAAAATGCATTGAGTTCCCCAAAACGCACCGAGCAAGTCTCGGATGCCGCTGAGCAGAGGCGAGTCACGGCTCGCCGGTCCTCCCCTCTGGAGCTCAGTGCCTTATGCAAACCGGTCGCAGTCATTTATCCTGCCGCCCGAGTGGAACGTCAAGAATTCGCTAGTGGTTCCTGAATACTGAGTTTCGAAGGCGGTGGGAGCCAGCGCACCCAGTGGGCAGAGAGCTGAGCCATCGCTGGGCTCCCATGGGCGGAGGCCTCGGGAAGTTGGATCTGTGTTTAGTCCCGGCCTCTGTGCTGGGAGCTCAGCTCTGTCTGGGTGGAGAGCCGGGTTTAGACAGGAAGACAATGGTTAAAATTACCCGTGAGCCGTGGACAGAGGGCAGCGAGCCGATCCCTCCATCGGGGCCTTGGCGGCGGCCGGCCTCCCGCTGGAGCGCACCTGGCAGCTGCCTGGCTCACCTCGCAGAATTGCGAGATTGAATGTCTGGAGAATTGATAGTAGGAACTTTTCCCCCCCACAAATCAGCTTTTTGTTTATTTTTTCGATAGCAAAACACCGGGAAAAAGAACCCCTTTACACCCTGTCTGGAAGCCAAGCAGTTCTTGCTACAGATGTTTCTTGTATCCACTTTGGGGAGGTGTAGTGAGCATAGTTTTCCAGAATTTACTCATAATCAACTCGTTTTCTCTATAGAAAACATGCGATGACCATCGCAGACTTCTGTCCCGCGGCCCACTTCACTCATTAGGGAAATCCGGTCTGACTTCAGCGATAAAGCTTTGAAATGAGAATCATCTGAAGGGTAATTAGGTTGTTTTTACTCGTCGTGCGTCGTAATTGTGTCTAATTTGTTTTACAGCCCCCACGGGAGAGCATACTTCAGCTGTGAAGTTACAGGCTCGATCAGGAGGCAGTTATGGGGGTGAGGTTACTATAGAAGCCGGTAAACGTAGCCCTGTCTCCCCGCCCGCCGGCGGCTGGGAGGCCCTTACCGCCAGCTTTTCAGGGGCCGATCGTCCTTCCCTTGGCATCGCTGCGTCTTCTGAAAGGACCCGTGCTGTCAACATGAGGGAGGGAGCTCATGCTCCCAGCAGTGTCATCTCGTGTGATAGGTGCCCGTATCCCTCGCCCAGACCTACTTAACTTTCTCAGAAGCGCCGTGTTCACTGGGGCCCGTGTTTCCATTAGAGCGGGTGTGAGAAGTGGAAACTGCAGCATAGATCTTGGAAGTGGGTCTGAGGTCGGGTGACGGGGCTGCTTCCCCGGCTCCTGGGAACGCAGCCTCGAATCGAACGTCCGCGTGGAGGTGCGGATTTGTGGTCCCGCGCCTCCCGGTTTTCATGC